GACGCGAGGAACGACAGGATTGCGAGCTTGGAAGCCACCATGGCGGTCGAGAGCAAAAACAAAAGTGAGGCTCAGAAGCAAACCAGCTCGTAGCTCGCGTGTGTACCTTGCAACAATCGTACCCGGTACTTGACAGGGCATAGAAAGGACCCAGCGAACACCTGTCTCGACATCGTCGATCTGCGATGGCGCGTGATACAGCTGGGTTTGTAAACATGTGGGTTGCGAAATAATAAACTAACCACAGAACATTGTAATTGCATTTGCTGCGATTGGATTAGGCTTCATCATTAGTTTCTGTATGGCATTGCGAGATCAAAACAATGTGTCTGGTACCTCGTCTTGTAGCGGTGTCCATGGAATAACGTTGCGGTTGTTGGAATCTTGTTGATGAGGAATTTGACGTGACGATATTGTTGCAGTGGCAGGTTTTCTCGAGACATGAGTACACTGCGAGCGCCAACGCGCGCCGTGACCGCTGAGATTGAAGACACCTAGGATTATGTACTGTGCAAAGCAGGTGTCCCAAGTGGTGACATATGTTTCAGCAATTGTTGAATGATGTCGTCCTGCAAACGGAGTCGTGAAACGACGCTGAGATTGCGGAGGGTTATGACAGGACGGGTGTACCTGGTCGGCCAAGAAAGGTCGGATGCAATCTTTAGATGTAAGTACTTTCGCTAACTTGAAGCGAGTGATGACGCATAACTCAAAAGGCGGTTCCATTAGCGCATCCTACGAGGTTTTTCAGGCGCTTTTTAATGTAAAGCCACGGCGGGGTGGATAGGGTCGAGGTAGCACCTATTTGTAGGACCGCATCGCATATTTCATACGAAGGTGCAACGTCCTTGCAAACGAAGTGAATTGAAGCCAAACTTGCGAGATGTGGCGCAACGAACATGCTTGCCTCAATCGTTGAATTGTCGTACGTGAAGACATGACATCAAGATGCACTGTTGACGGCTACATACCCAAGTCGATACCGGGCATCGCACTTCTTTACACGATGCAGTGCTTGACGTCGGCGTGCGGTGAACGAGAGAGTTGGGGCACTGGAGTTGGGGTATGTTTGGTCTATATATTGGGACACTCGGCACTCGACGCGTTGTGGCTCAGACGTAGCCGCAGCCAGGTGCTTTATAGCCTTGCAGTAAAATCTATTACCAGTAGCTACTGTATACATTTAAAACCTCGCTCGAATCGAGTACGAGTGGAAAGGTTAAGCGTTGGGTAGCACATCCGGGCTGCAACCTGGGGCATCGTAAGCTGCACGCATAACCGTCGCCCCGACGATGGATCTTGAAACACCATCACTCCACCAAATCTTTATCCGGATCGATGGAGGTGAGACGCTCTTTGTGAGATGCCAACTTCGGGGCTATTTAGGCGACCTCCAGTGCAGCGTAGCGAGCTCGAATGTGGTGGGCGAAGCCACGAAAGAACTGGCTGGCGCCGCGACGACGTGAAACTTTGGTGAAGTCAGTGCACAGCAGCAATGTTTCGGTACCATATCGATCCATCCACGGTGCCGAGACTGCTTGTAACTTAGGATCACAAAAATTAGGAAAATGTCCTTATGCTCTCATACCGGGTAGTTGTTATTTGTTTCTCAGTGCAATAATCTGCGTCGAACTAGCGAGCTCAGCGAGCTCATTCCGACTTGTTTTAATGAATTCGTGTTGCGGTAAGTGACTCTGTTTGCCTGTACTAGGCTCACTGGCAATGTCTTGGTTCACCATTATCTCAATCATGATGTTGTCAATCTATTCCAATGTCGTTCAGTTCTTAGCCACATTATTTTCTACGCCCGAGTGGATCTAAATGTTAAACACAAGTTTACATCGCGACGAGCTTCCAGCACTGGTTGTCGTTGTTGGGGAAACACGTCCACATCTGCGCCTTGTGCGTCGCGTCCGTCGGGTCGGCGTCCAGGCACATGTTGGTGTGCACCGAGTGCTTGATGCGACCGTTGT